AAACAAACGAGACATGTGTAATACTCAGATCTCTACGATTATTTGTAAAGGTCCTTTGTTGTTTACTGTCAAGACTACAGATTAGTACTTCGATCAGATGGTTATTTATTTATTATTGAGATGAGATGAGACAGAAAGGCCAAGCTAAGAGATGACACACATATGTATTATGAGCTTGATAGAAAATTTCTTATCCTTCCAATTTCTCAATTTCAACGAAAATTCTCTCTTCTAAATACACGAATAAATTACTGCGGGTACTCATCTAATGGTGGCATAATAAACCGTCTGCGGCCAATCAGAAAGAAGATAGCAGAACGCTTACTAATAACATTAACTAATAAAATAATTAATTATTTTTCAAATATTTGACGATTTGTGCAATTTCAAAAAAACAAAATTTAATATTTAAATGCATTATTTGATAGCGCAAATCATTTAAATACCTATTTAAAGTAAATAACACGGCGTAGAAACAAACCCTCATAATTTGTGCGGAAACAAACTCGCGTGCGACGTCATCTTAACAACCCCCCGCATTAGATAAAATCATAAAGTTATTTGGTTATTTTATTTACAACAAATACGCAAACAGTGCGCGACAAATTGTCGCAGAGAAAGCAAACAAGTCGCATTGCATAATAAAACAAAAAGCTAAAAATTATATTCCTTGATATGCGAATGATAAAATACCCTTGAAAATCGAAGGCTGAGCATTTAAAAAATAGGTGGATTTCTTAGGGAGTGCCAGGTGGTCAAAGCTTTAAAAATTGGATGGATGTCTTTTTGGAAGTGAAACTGATTTCTTTATTATGCTTACTACCAAATAATTGTTATTGTAGCTTAAAAACTTTAAAATATTAGATATGCATCTTCGTCTGCCCGGAATATAATAAGATAACCATCTTAAACTGTGCTTTGATATTTGTTTTTGTCTTGGCTCCATATTTAGAGCTGATCACACATACTATATTCGTCTACGTGTGATACCCTTCCGTATAGGGCCATAAAAATAAAAGCGGAAATGTGACGGCAGACAAGGCAGCCCGCCAGCGCACTCGAAATATACACAAGAGTGGTAGGGCTGAGGTGTTTGAAAACGAAGGCGTGTGAAGGTGAGGGAAGGGAAATAAGGAGGAGACGCATGAAAAGGACACACGTGTAAATTTCGGCACTTGAACGTGAGTGGCCCATTGTTGGGTGTCTGCTTGCGTGTGCTGCTGTTCTTGTTGTTGTGTTATTGTGTGCATTGCGCAAATATCAACAATAAATATTTTACAAAGCAAATGAAATTATAACAACAATTGCTTAACGCTTATTGGCATTAGCGAGGGCATTGAGGTTGACGTTGCCGTTGACGTTGTCTTAGACAGAGAAAAGCCCACGTGAGCGTTTTATTGGCTAATCTTATCGCCCATAGGAAATTCAATTAATTAAATAGTAAATAAAACTCAATTGGAAACGCTTTAATAAATCAAGTGCAGTTCTATGTAAATGATAATAAAATATAACGTCTAATCGTATAAGGCGGCACAGTGGTATCTCAAAAAGTGGCTACACGAAATTATCCGAAAAATCGACGAGCATAGTTTTCCTGACAATACATTTTTAACTAACTCTTAAAATATTTGACAGTTTCAAACATCTCATACTACTGAGTTACTGAATTACAATAAAATTGCCAACAAAAACTATAAAACAGTGGGGATAACTAGTTTTTAAGGTACAACATTTACAATGCCCATTTACAAATAAGTCTCAAAATGGGTATGTGACCCTTTATATTGGTTTTCCTTTTTCAATTGACTTCTAACTGGCTCACAAATTGTTCCACCGCTAATGATGTTAATTTTTAAACGATTTTATTAATAATACAATTGAATGCTGGATTTAAATATACATACATTTATTAAATGCAAAAATATAGATAATTAAACAAATAAATATTCAAATTATTTTTCACTTGCATACTTGTACATTCGCATCTGTTGAGGAATATATACCCTTTCACCAATTTGGTACAGGATACAAAAATAACTGTAAAAAGTGCAGTTAGCGCTTTATATATTTTAAATAGTTTATGATAATGCATGTGGACAATGGCAATGTCTAAGAAGTCCCTTTTCTGCAAATATCGCACTCAAAACATTGCAAACAGGGGTTTCGTTTTTCCTACTGGAATAACCTTAACTCAGGTAAGACATCAGTGAGTAAATTTATATTATTATTTATTTATAATTAATTACGTTTCTCTTCCCATGCTACGTATTATTGTCAGTGTTGTCCATAGCCTCAAATATACATAAATCAATATAAAATATATTGGAGAGTTATTTGTACGCACACACACAAATACTATGTGGGTCGCGCACCGCGGGTGCGTTCCTTTTCTTTTGGGTATGGAGCATTACACCGCATACGTTTGAAAGACCGAAAAATGGTCTCTTCTGTAATTCATCCCACTGTCTGATGGGCAGTTGGAAAGCCTCGAGTGTGTCTTGCTTATCAATGGACTGGCAAATCGTAAAATAACAACAACTACGTATTACCTGTTGTTGCAGCGCGCGCAACATGTGCCCAAGTTGGCAGCATGTTGCTAGCAACAAAAGCACGACAAGTGGGTGTTGATGGTGCTGCTCGTCTCGTTGGCCGTCGGTTGATTGCCGAAGACCCGAGCCGTTTTCAACGAGCCACAAGTCAGTACGTATTTGTAACTGGCGAGGTTAGCGTCGTGCTGCGCGTCGTAAACCGTTTTCAAAAGTTTTGTCGAAAGTACTCGGCAAGCGTTTAATTGTTGTTGGTGCGATCACTAAAGCAATCTGCTTGAAAAGTATTAAATTCAATGAAATAATGAAATAAAAAAGTCAATCTTTAAACTAAGCAGTGCGTAACTACAATTTCAACTATAAAAAAAAACAAGAAAACCTGCTTTGATTTTACGTGTTTTAGCTGTGCCAACAGGCGTCGTATGCGTCTGTAAATAATACGAACCAAACGTATGATCACGCTATATGTAGCCACACCAACAAAAACAGCAGCAATACAAAGAGGCTCGTCCAACTGCATTCTTGGCGGTCGCGGCTTTTTCATCACGTGTTGTTTGCCCCGTGTTGACAGGCGTCCGTCCGCCTGTCAACAGAAGCAACAACAATAACAATATATACACAATTGAAATCTTGGCCACCATGTAAATTATATGCATTGCTCAAAATGAAGAAAGAAATATTCACTTGTTGCTGTTCTTTATTAATTCAGTTTTTAGTGAACCAAAAATCTCTTTGTCATGCGTTAAGTGTTTTGTTTTCGCTTCGTCTCAATTGACTAGTAAAGCCTCATTGAGCATTGAACAGCTGTCGCAATTAAGACTGACACAAACATACAAACCCCTCACATGCATTAGTGCATACACGTATGTATGCATACATACATATTACTTACTTATGACTGATCAATGCAAACGATCAATTAAAATTGAATTGAGTTTCTGGTGGTTGCTGTAAGAGATGCAAGGGCTGTGAAGTGCGCACGTCTTTAGCATGTTATTAATGTAGAAAGTTAATTGCTTGGTTGATGTAAATCAAAGACTTGTTAATGCTATGCCAGTGTGTGCACATAAATATGCAAATTCAAGCAATGCAAAACGATTGTTTTGATGTGACCTAATCACAAACGGCTAGTTGCAGTGGTTTCGCAAATGAGAATGTTTGTGGAAATACTAGAATTCCGGCTCAAATTAAGATATTTGTCCTTTGAAAATGCATGTAGAGGATAGTAAAGCTAACAAGCCTAAAGTATGTTTATATTTATATTTAATTTTATTTCTCATTAATATTGCAAATATATACAAATTGGATTTATATAACACGGAATTGAGGATCGTTATTGCCAATATTTGTGCATAAGACGGTGCCCATGCAATAAAAATATTTTCAAAAAAAAAAAGTATATATTTGTCATGAAGTTTTAGAACAGCTCAAATACAAATGTTAAATAAGCTGATCATTTCTGAAAACAATTGATGAATTGTTGAATGGAATTTGTTGAGTTTTTTTAAATAAATTTGTAATGAAAAATAACGAGACCAGCTAACTAGATAATGACGCATGTAACTTTATGGGATCTATGGCTCCGCCTTTGCTCGTTTCAAGATAAAAAAATTTGCAGTAAACTGTTTTGAAATTGAATTATTAATAGACAAATACATAGGATAGAAAAAATTTAAAAATATTTCTTTTAATCTATCAAAAGTAAACACGGGACGGACAACTACCTTTCGAAGTCTATTAAAAACATATTAAAACAAAAAGGCTCGCATGTTGAATTGGAAATATCTGCGGCCTGAGAAAAAATATAAATAAATAACGTAGCAGTGAAAATAAGAACTGCAGTAAAAAATATAGTACATAAAATAAATTAAAACCAGCATTTTTTCGTCTTGCCAATTCACACACCGCCCACGCCACAAGAAGATGAATCGCCACAAAAAGCGGACAACGACAAACAGACAACTAGACAATTTAGTTTTGAATGGATAGGTTGTAGCAAACGACAAACAGTGATATGAGTAGTAACTGATTTGTTTTCCAATCAGCCAATCAAATTGATGATGAAGATGATGATCTTAAAACTTCAAAATCAGTAATTTTACTCATTTAATTTTATTTATTGGTCCCGGTTTAGTTGTTACAAGTAAAAGGGGACATACAAATAATTGTTACTTTGAGGTTTAGCGAAACGAATAATACATAGAAATTATTAGGTACCCATAAAGCCTATATTTGCCAGCTTCTGTGGAAACAATAATATAAATTTGGAAGTATAGTTCTCCGCATGTCAAAGCTTATAGTATAGTGTTAGGGAAAAATACGCAGCACAAATATTTCGTGAGCGCTTAGCGCTCTACATAGTATGTTTGAATAATATACTTGGAATTAGCTGGTTTCTTAAACTTAATAAAGGGGCGGCTTCCAAAAAATATCAGCTTAAAGCTCAGCAGAGTTGTTCCGAATTCAGATTCATGGTCAGAATGAGTATGGGGCCAATTTTTGGCAAAATGAACAAGTAACGGGTAAAACTGCAACAGCAACAACAATAACAGCAATAGAGAGCCAAGCAGGCCAACAACATTGAAGCTTTTGCTTTTGATTTTGCTCTCGCTTTTCATTCAACGACATTATTTATTTATAGAATATTTCGCTTTTTGTATTTTTGTTGCGAATTTTCTTTCGGCGACTCTTTGGACAGACGCTGTGCTTGATCATTAATTTAATTTTATGTACGTTAAGGCTATTAAACACAAATTTTAAAATTCATAAAATAAATGCAAAAGTGCACCGACTGTCGCACTCGCAGTAGCAGTCGCACTCTCAGTTACAGTGACTGTCGGTGCCACAGCCTGTAATTAAGCGACACAGCAAACTCTCGAGGCCAGCGACGTCGTCCCGAATGCAGTTGGGCGTGCTAATAAGTTTTGCAATGACTTGTGCAAACCAGTTTGGGTTTGGCCACATCACATTTGCGAACGCGAGCTCACTGTCTGAATAATAATAATTGCAAAAAACAAGAGCAACGTGCAACAAACACACAAGCAAACAAACAAGTTTGCAAAAATCAAACTAAACAAACAGAATGCCGCCTGTTCAGAAAGTGCGAAGTGGGGCAGGCAAAGGTCGCAGCTGTTGGATGACTTCGGTGACTTTAGCGGGTAAGTACCTACGACCTTATCTCTCTCAATCTGAATGCAATCGCCTGGACTGGACTCAACTAGTCGCCCCTTATCTCAACTCGACTCGACTCGAGTCTACTCGACTAGACGCTGTTGTCCGTTCAGCCGATGCTGTCAAGCTGTCAGTCAGTCATTTGTAAAAATGTGCACTGCACAATGTGGCACCTAATTGCCAGCGTCATGACTTCCGCTCTTACGTGTCTCACGTGCATTCGAGTGCAAACAACAGGCCACATCGATGGCAAGACGTAAAAGTTGGGCAAAAAATGAACAAGTAAACAAACAAACAAACAAAAGTTAAAATTTATGGAATGCCAATTTCACTTACGCCCAACTTTATTACCCCCGACGCACATTTGCAACTTTGTTGCAGGCAAGCAGGCGAGTAGCCGAGTAACAGAGTAACCAAGCAGGAGAGAGCTAGCGGGCTTAGGGCAAGTCGCCGCCTCAGATTGCCTTTTAGCCTTTACTTGAGCAGCACTATTTTGCCACTATCCCGCTATCTCAGACCCCATCCCCATCTACTATGCAGTGCTTGCGAGTACGAGTATTTGTCTCTACACATTTCGCTACATTCTGCACTCATATTTCCTCAGTGTGCGTCGTTCTGGCCAGCTGCCTTATAGCTGGCGCCGTAGCCGAGGAATGCGGCCAGGAAGAGTTCACCAAGTGCGCCGAACCACTTGAAATGCTGCATTTAACGTCGGAATTCTCGATTGGAGCTGCCAAAAAGGACGAATTGGATAAACTTTGTCAGTAAGTTGTTGCAAATTGAAAATAAGCGCCAGCAACAACACTACTAGACAGCTTATATTGTTTTGCTATTGGTATTGTTATTGTTATTGCTTGAAGCGCATCAATTCTTCTATCTGTCTAAGTCGACTTTTCCCCATTGCCCCTGCACAGTGAGCTGCGCAAAGGTGTGCGCTGCATCCAAAGCTATACGCGTCGCTGCATGGACCTGCAACAGCGAAATCAGTTCAATAAACTCTACCACGGCACTAATCAGTTCATCAGGGACCTCTGTAACAAGGGCGAGTTCCAAGAGGGTAAGCACCATCAACGACGACACTTTCATTGAATGCGACAAAACCATTTACTTGCTCCGCCCACAGAGTACCTGAAGCATGCGCCCTGCTCCGAAATGGCCAAGCGTGACTTTGAGGTGTGCGCGAATCGTTATAAGGAGACCATGGTCTTCCTTAAGCCCAACAAGAACCAGCAGGAGACTCAGGAGAATGTGACGCTGAACGAGAACATCAAAACCATTTGCTGGTAAGACCCGCAATCTTACATAAATCCCTGTCTGGCCTGATACTCAAATATCCTTGTCCGTATGTATATTGTGCGCCTTACAGCTCCATCAACGAACTAGTGGACTGTTCGGAGAATGCGGCCCGCAAAATCTGTGGCAATGATGCCGCCAAATTCACGCGTGAGTTGGTCGATAAATACGCAAACAGCCTGACCAAGGTGAGTTACCAGCTTCAGCTACATACATATATCGAATTAGGTAGTTCCTCAACTATCTTATATTAGCAAATTACTTTAAACTCAAAATAATCCATTTGGTTCGCTGAACGAACAGGTCTATGAAACTTTGTCAAGTACAGTTAAAAACTTTGAGGTTGCTGGGCTTTCTTAAATTACTGTGTGGCAAATCGGCCTGCAGCTGTGGACATAACTTATTTTTCGAAGATGCATCTGATGAATAGAGTTAAAGTTATTTTTGAAGCATTTGTTGTGCTCTATTCGGGTTGCCCAACTGTAAAATTCTCTCTATACCCAAAGGGTAAAAAGGGTGTCTTAGGTTTGTGCAAAGTATATAAAAGGCAGAAGGAAGTATCTCCGGTCCCCTAAAGTATACATTTCCTCAATCAGTCTACCCGTCTGTCTGCATGGATGACCAACTGGATTTCGACACCAGCTGATCCCCTATTAACCAATCTACGTATGTAGATTCTTCTGGTACCCCGGCAGCACGAGTGTATTTTATATTTTGGATCTCTGCGCCCCTACGTCCCGCCACAGAACTTCGTCAACACTTAAAGTATAACTCTCAACTTTTTTTTTTTTGGCAAACTCGCCTTTTTTTTTTCTTTTTGCTTTTCTTCATGTTTTTTTTTTTTTTTTGTAAGTACTGAATTTTCGTACAGTATTGACTCGCCTTAAGGAAGAATACAGCCAAGGTATCGGTTGTGACAAAAGCGGGAAAGGTGGCGTGGCTACTTGCACCCCACAAGCTGTCTCTGTACAGTAAAGTCACAATTTACAAATCCATCCTAAGTCCAAGATGGAAGTAGGCACTACCAATTTATGGCATTGCCTCTACATCAACCCTGAACAAAAAAGGAAAATATGCATATGCGCACAAGCTCACGCAGAAAACTATGATAAACGCCTTAGAAGACGTAAAAAGTATCACCCACAGGATCTCGCCACTAGATTCCATATTTAAACTACATGCATCATAGTATTTAAACATATTCTATAGTAATATTTTGATTAGTTACATATATTCTATGGACAATTTTTGTATAATTAAAAAAAAAGAATGTTGAAATAAGAGCAAAAAAAAGTTGATCGAAATCGACGGACAAGCATAAAAGTTAACGGCATTAGGGAATATTTTTATCAAGCAAAAAAAAAAAAAAGGATTAAACTTTTTCCCATCCTACGTTGGTACTTTTAAAAAAATATTTTTCATTTTGTTTACTGCAGATCTATTGCGAGGATTTCACGCGTCATCCGGAAATATGCCGGGATGGAGAGGGCGATGGAGCCACCACCTTACTACGAAGTAGTTTGGGACTATTGGCAACACTGTCAATGCTGCTGCTGGTCAGATAGATGAAGTCTCCGGATGTCTGCAGACAAGTTAAGTTTACTTTTGAAAACATTTATTAAAATTAGCAAAGAGCAACAAACACAAACCCACACACTGATAAATGAAGTTCTAGTTAAGGTTTCTAAAACACACAAATACACACACATACACACACACAGCCACACCCACGAAAGTGACAGCCGCAGCCTGATTAAGGTGAACTCCACAGGCATGTTGGCATTATCTGTTGCATACATTTTGGGGCCTAGTGTAAAGAAAACGGGCGGAGGAGCGTAGCGTAGATAATAAGATGTTAATTATGTGTGTGAAAGAATTGAATGGCACATGAGATACATAAATATATACAATAGTGGTATACCTGTATAGTTAACGGGCTGGAAGTTACAGCGCAACAAGATGAGTAAGTTAAAAAATCAATAGTCAATTGCTATGCCGGAACTGCATGTTGTTTCATCATAGTTGATGTTAGTCTTCTACGTAGGATTGAGTGCAACACTCCAAAATATGTTAATTTTAGAGTCGAAATGCTATCAACGTTGAAGTGGGAGCATAGGTTTATAAATTGATGATTACTTAGGCTTCAGTAGATACTCGCGAACCCTTTAGTTGTACTATCTTGCCTTTTGAGCAACCTTAACTGCAATGCTAGATGCCTTGCTTTTATTTTGTGGTTTCTTTTAATATTTTCCAACTAGTCAAAATTTTTCTTAAAAATTGTTACTAATTTTTTAAGTTGGCATTCAATTTGCAATCAAAGCTTATGATAATGTTAGTTAGTTTATTCGTTACTTCCTACTTAAGTATCTAGAATGTTACTCTTCCATCAAATTTAATTTAAAATTTTTTGCAATATGATTACCCATTGAAAAGGATATAAACCAAACGCACAACATAACAAATAAAAAAGGAAATTAAACACCCAATACAAAAAGGTAAACACACATATCGGCAATAAAGTAAAGTGCATTTCCATAATGAATTTTTTGATTATGTATTTTAAAAGAGCTTTTTTCGACTATTTCATTTAATTTTGTAGTACAATTAAATAAATGAATGCAAACGCAAGCACTTATTTAAGAACACCAAACATGTAAATACGATAAAGTGTATTAAATCAAATGAGAAATTTGCAAGCAAACTATATAATGTCGTGAATATTGCATACATGCATATATATTAATAAATATTAGTTTTACTTAAAAACTGTGAATATACATTATAACTAAAGGAAGACGTACGTTTACTTTAAGCAAAGAAAAAAAAAATGAAAACATACGAACACATATACACAGACTCGATGAGGAATAACAATAAAAGCAAAATAAAACAAAATAAAATGAAAACCAAAGAAAAGAAAACACCGAATGTTGGGCGAAAGACAAAAAAATATTCGTTCATCGCAGTTTTGCTTTTAACAGCAGTGTGGGGCAAATAAAGCAGGATAAACAGGCAAAAAGTATGCAGCAGAGTGACTGCTGCAACAGTCTCCTTACTTGTATATGTATATATGTACATGCATATGCATGTGCATATGTACTTGTGCCTGTGTGCTTGCGGCGCCCAAAAGTATGCTGCGCAAATATGCACGTTTACAGAGAGCGTGTAAGCCAACGCGTTTGCCCAAAACCGCCGCGGCCATAATTTATGTGGCGTTCATTAGACAAACGGCAATGGCCACGTCGACGCGTCTGGTACTGGGAGTGGGAGCAGGGAGGCGATTCTGGCAGTAGTAGCAGCCACGGCCGCCCTGGAAACTCTGACAACATTGGCGACGATGTGGCTGGCCGAAGGACGTCGACGTTGGCTCGTAAAGTGCAGCTAATTTATAAGGCAGCGCCAAAACATAAATAGCAATGGCAAGTGGGCGGACGCAGCTCAAGGACATCGTCCTTGCAAATGCCCGCACACAGACACTCTTACACACAAACTTATAATTTGCATTATAAGAACGCAGGCTGGCTGCTTGGAGCGCTCAGCAAATACACAAACCAAATGCTTTGACCGCAATCGCATTTCAACAAGCTGACGCATAATCAATGGACAATTTTGAGAGGGCAACCACACACAAACATTTTCCATCACCTACACATAGCAGTGAGTCCGCTCTCTTGGCACACTACTTAACGAATCAATATGAGTTACGTTTCGTTTGGCTATTGCTATTGCTATTGAGTCACATGCACCGGTCCCAATGCAGCTCAAATATTTACGTTCCATTTAAGGAGCCCATTGCCATGGCAGCACGCCCACGAAGCTCGTTTCGGGCTCCAATTGGCCGGTCTGTTGCCATTTTCTGCTTCATTTGTTGTGCAAATAGGCAGCGTGCATGGTCCATCAGCATGGTCAGCATGTTCAGCTTCGTCAGGCTGCTCGTAATATCTTAATTTGAAGTCATATTTTTGAGTTGCCCATGGGAATTCGAGCTGCACCAGCAATTTCACAAGCAACAATAACAACTCTAAGCTACATACTAATTTCGGTAAAAGTTTTCCATCCACAAGATATGGAAATCAGAAGCCATTTGCCACTGCATATTTTTTAATGGACACAAGAATATGCTCCCTGCTAGAGTTGTGCCTTATAGTTCGCAATACTACTCTTTCTATTTTTCCTCTGGACGGTAAAAACTTATTATATTCACTTGTGAACAAAACAAAAATAATAATCAAAGAAACAAAAATAAATAATAATAGAAAGAAATTCAAATCGAGATACTTAGTCGATTACCCAAGAAAAAAAATGATTCTGATGCTCGATTCTTCTTTATTTGTAGTTGTATTTCCATCCATTCATCGCCTTTTTAAGTACCCTCCACTATTTTTGTAACATTCTATAGCAATATGATGATCGGGTTATATTTTTACACACGTCCAGGATTCAAAATTATTATTTGGCCAAGCTGAGAGCTTCCATTATTTATTCAGGAATCTTGATGAGATAGGCTTCTTCGAAAGTTTTGGTATATAATTTTAAATTATATAATATAAATGTATAAACGCGAAGGACATTTAAATAACCGTACCATATAAACACAATATTGTTAAGCAAAAACGTAAGTATTTATATATAGTAAATTCGTCCAAACATACCATGTATATAAGCATATTATATACTATAGAGTAAAAGGAGTAAAAGGAAAACTAGTTGATTGCGAAGAATATTCATTGAACCAGCTTGAACTGAGCGGACATACTCTCATTGACTCTCTATCAACAGCTAACAATAGCCAACAGTCCTTGTTTTCGGTTTTTAATTAATTGAAAATAGCTTTGTGGAGCACTTTGGAGTGCAATGTATAGATTCAAAGGGTAAGTCAAACAATTCCTCTGTAAACAGTTCTTTAGCATTTCATTTAGCACAAACACAGCCCAGTGCGCTTGCAAATCTCGTAGCTGGTTGTTTGCCTCTCTGTCTGTTTGTATGCATGTTTGTATGTCTGCCTGTTTGCCTGTTTGCTGGTCTGTTTGTATTTGCGTTTTCATATCGAAGTGGCGGAAGTGACAATTGGCAGCTCGACGCGTCCAACGTCATAGTCCTCATTGCATTATGGGTTGTCCATTTATACGATGATGCCATCGTCTGTCTGTCAGTCTGGCAGTCTCTCCGTCCCTCAGTTTGTTAGCCTGTCAGTCCGTCAGCCTGCTGTCTGTCGTCGGATTGCGCTTTTTAATCCTTTTTAAGCGGCGACAGGACGATTACAATTTGTTTTGCTTGTGCGCTCGCTTTTATTTTACATTTACGCTGCGACTAATCTGCAATTATGTTTTACATAAAAATCGTATCACATGGCACAACAAAACGGGCAACAACTACACAAACAACAAGCACAACGTCAAACTACGACAAATAACAAAAGCTTCAAAAGTTTCTTGGCCAAGAGAGCGCAACATGACGGCAGAGTTCTGAGAAAGAGGACGGGTGTTAAGTGGCACTGTTGTTGGTTGATTGTTTGGCTGTTGTGATGATAGTCGTAAAAAATATTAAAAAAGTGTCAGAGAACTGCAACAGCAGCCTGCGACAGACGATAAGAGGCGAGCAACAAAATCGCAGTTGGGATAACAGTGCGTATGTGTAATATGTGCAGCTGGTGCTGCAGGTTTTCTTTTTTCGTCATTGTACGCTCGTTCGTGTCTACGTCATGTACAAATCAAAGTTAATTAGAGGGAGCGCAAAAAGAGCACTATGTTTCTTTCAAGAGTATTCTGGCGGACCCATAGGACCATGCTTTTATAACTCATGTAATTTTTAAGCAAGTGCAAGCGATTGTGATTTGTTTATGAATAAACAACATCTGAGTTAAAGAACTGCAATTTTTAGTACAAGGGTTCTTATTATGCTAATAGTTTATCAGTGATTGAAGCGTCAAATCTGCCAACTGTTTTAAGGATAGCGCATTTGGAGAGTTGGTTATTATTATACTTACTTATTGTTTATTGATTAGATCATAAAAGCTGCACCTTAACACCCGTATAATAAATTTGGGATTCAGGTCGGCAATGTTACCAATAGCCATATTTATATTTATTTGTGTTACACAGCATTTGGTATGTAGAACAACACTTTTGCGTGCTTCGCATTTTTATACCCTGTACCCGTAGGGTAAAAAGGGTATATTAGGTTTGTGCAAAGTATGTAACATGCAGAAGGAAGCATCTCCGACCCCATAAAGTATATATATTCTGAATCAGCATGACGAGAGAAATCGATCTAGACATGTCCGTCCGTCCGTCTGTCCGTCCGTCTGGATGAACGCGAGGATCTCAGAAACTATAAAAGCTAGAATAACCAAAGTTGGCATCCAGATTCTCCTAGGTCCGAGAAAGGACGAGTTTATTTTATTTTTTGGAATTTTTCCCCCCTTCCCCCGCTACAGAATTTCGTCAATAGCGTCCACATTTCAAATGCTACCTAAACCAAACTGATAACAATAAACAAGAGAGAACGCTACAGTTGAGCAAGCCCGACAGTGTAATACCCTGTACCCAGGTAAACTTCCGTCACTGAGTTATATGCGCCCATAGCAGCAGCAAAAATAGGAAGAAGAAGAGCGAACTTGTTGCTGCAGTTTGGGGAGGTTGTACTGGCGAGAATTTGTTTCGCTAATAACTTTTCTTAGAATTGACCGAATTGAATAAAATACAACAGTAGACAATTATATATAAATTATGTGTGCAAAGTTTGGTTTAGGTAGCATTTGAAATGTGGACGCTATTGACGAAATTCTGTAGCGGGGGAAGGGGGGGGAAATTCCAAAAAATAAAATAAACTCGTCCTTTCTCGGACCTAGGAGAATCTGGATGCCAACTTTGGTTATTCTAGCTTTTATAGTTTCTGAGATCCTCGCGTTCATCCAGACGGACGGACAGACGGACGGACAGACGGACGGACATGTCTAGATCGATTTCTCTCGTCATGCTGATCAAGAATATATATACTTTATAGGGTCGGAGATGCTTCCTTCTGTATGTTACATACTTTGCACAAACCTAATATACCCTTTTTACCCTACGGGTACAGGGTATACAAAACGGATTAAATTAAATAACAAGAAAAAGTCAGGAACAACAAATAGAAAAAGGCAGTTTTTTAAATAACACAAAACATTTCGTGGACGTCCTCACCCGGCAGAGTCGTATGACTGAATGTTGAATTCAAATAAAATTTACGACAAAAAGTATTGAAAAACATTGGTTTACAATAAGTGTTGACAGGCGGTTGAGAAATGCATTCTTAGAGTATGTATGGCAAGAAAGCAACGAAACTTTTTCAATGCTTTCATTTTCAAACAATTCTAACACATATTGATGTGCACTAAAAAGTAAACAAACAATTGCGTATTTTTCTTCAATAATATAGATACGATTACGAACCGTTTCAGATTCTTTTCTTTCTTTCTATATATATAACGTCATTCTTACGGTAATTCCTTGTGTTTAATGTTGGCTATATTTTCGTATCACCGTTTGCTAGATTATGTCTCAGCATAGTGTCGTATTCAAGTTTGTTTGCTTGGTTTAATTAAGTATAGGTATTTTTGTCGTTTTAATACTTGTATTGTCGTATAAAAGTTCATTTGGAATTGGGTTTATTAAAGTTTTGGTACTTTTCTCGTTTCAAAGTCGCAGAAATGGGCACAGTATATTTTCGTATAAAAGTTAAGTTCTATAAGCAAAAAAACAACAACAAACGATCTGCCTAGGACTTACAGAAACCATTCCACTT